CTCTTCATATTTGCTGCAGGAGACAGGTCTGGCGTGATATCAACTCCCAAGTCTTTTTCTTTCTCTGACTCCTGAAGAATTTCCTCTCCCAGATAATACCTTGTATTTGGCCTCCTGCTCCCTGCACCTATCTTCATTATATTACATTTGGTTGGGTTAAACTCTAACAACCATTTGTTCGACCATTCCTTCAGCTTGTCTATGTCTTCTTGAAGCCTCAAACAGTCCTCTTCTGTTTTAATCCTTCTCATAATTTTGGCATCTTACTGTGTGTGTGTGTGGGGGGGGGAAATAGTTAGTAGTTAGTAAGAGATGATTGAGAGTTGAGAGGCGGGCCAAAAGAACAAAACTCAACTCCCGGAAGCACAACTAGGTAAATACTGCTCTGCCCTGAGGGGGAGTTGTGGCTTTTGAGACATAAACCTCCAAAAGAGAGCTCTGGCTGTTGCACCAGAATTTTATTTGCGTACAGGTGGACAGTGTCCCCACTCCCTGGCGGAACAAAGAACTGACCTCAGCAGCCACACTCCCACTACCGTAGGTCAACCAGCAATGGACACTGGAGTGCTTGTAATTTACCTAGAAGATCGCCCTGTATGCCTCTTGATCTTGGAGAGGGGTTCAGCATCACATATTTTGGGGTGCGGCTCGAACACTGGAGTCGTTGTCTTGGGTACACACCCTTCTCGAGCCGCCGTGACTCCCCACTCTCTCCTTGTTTGAAATGATCTCCTACATCTCCCTTCCGGGAATTAGTATCTTCTGCCACCGTGTCCGTAGTCATGACGTCTCTCTCTCTCTCTCTCTCTCTCTCTCTCTCTATCTATCTCTCTCTCTCTCTCTCTCTCTCTCTCTCTCTCTCTCTCTCTCTCTCTCTCTCTCTCTCTCTCTCTCTCTCTCTCTCTCTCTCTCTCTCTCTCTCTCCCACTTTCTGGGGAACCTCACCCGGACAAGAGCAAAAACCAGCTAACATATACATTTAATATATAAAGAAAAGATACACAATACATGACAAAAAATATAACATTTTCCTACAACACTCTAACCTGCTACAACCCGGTAGCATTCCAATATCATATCCTGGCTTCACCAACTGTCCATATCAAGTGGCTGCCCAACTCTTGGCTTACCACTTACTACTCCCTCACTACTTGGGGCTGAAATCCTGTCACAACAATACTGTGTCCTCAGCCCTAAAAGTATATGAAATTCAGCTTGGGGCTGAAATACCAGAAATATGGTGTTTTTCTACATAGGTATTCCCCAACAAATGAAGAAATCAATCTCTCCCCTTACACTGCATGTTACATGCCAATAAGCATTCAAGCACTCCCCTTATACAATTATATGTCCACCAAGATCCTCTGTTCTGCTTCTAGAGGCTCAACATCAATATATATCCTAGGTTCTCCAAAATATCAGGAAAGGCACTCCTTCAGTTCTCCCAATCTGCTGCACAACAGAGTTCTAATTCGTCATCAGTGACGCTTCACCACTGATTCCACAGAGACACATGTAGTTCTTCTATACTGCTTGAAATCAACTCCTCACCATGTAGTTCTGCTCTACCACACAGTTCAGCACACACTTTTTCTCCCGCCTCCAAGTTCCTCCATTAACTTCTTCTCTAACCTCAAAGTTTCTCCACAAACTCCTTCCCAAACAAACCTACAATTCCATTGCCATGCCAATAAAAATATTTTCCTAACAAAACATAATTAAATATATTCACAGAAAATAAAATCCTCACTCCAACATCTTTATGCTGGTACTACGGCTCTGCGATGTAGGTCCTGCCCCCCCCCCCTCCCAGGGAGCAGCCCGTAGCAGCTGACTAACTCCAAGGTACCTATTTACTGCTATGTAACAGGAGCATCAGGGTGAAAGAAATTCTGCCTATTTGTTTCCTCGATCGCCGGGGATCGAACCCGGAACCTCAGGACTATGAATCCGAAGCTGTGTCCAATCAGCTGTCAGACCCCAGACCATACCACTAACAGTTTAGCAAAGTCTATACTTTATTACAGTGTAATAAACAGAATATAAAGAGTAGTACACCTCATTAACTGTGTATTACGCAGACATAACAGTGTAGTACACAGCAGTAACAGTAGTACAGTACATTACCAGTGTAATACACTGCAGTAACAGTAGTACAGTACATTAACAGTGTAGTACACAGCAGTAACAGTAGTACTTTACATTACCAGTGTAATACACAGCAGTAACAGTAGTACAGTACATTAACAGTGTAGTACACAGCAGTAACAGTAGTACAGTACATTAACATTGTAGTACACAGCAGTAACAGTAGTACAGTACATTACCAGTGTAATACACTGCAGTAACAGTTGTAGAGTACATTAACATTGCAGTGCATTCAGTAACAGATGTACATTACTTTACCAGTTGTTCTATCAGAAGGTGGGGGGGGAGGTTTTTATACAATGAAACTTGGTTATTAGAACCAACCTGATATTCGCTTACCGTCGAACAGAGACCCCAACCACTCCCTGACAAAACAAACAGCATGACCTCGGCAGCCACACTCCCGCTACCGTCCGTCGACCAGCAATGGACACTGGAGTGCTTGCAATTATGTGGGAGATCACCCTGGCAAGCGTCTGGTTCTGGGAGTGGTGGTTCAGCGTCACCTTTTTATTCAGGGGTACGGCTCACACTGCCAATATTTCCTTATGGCTCCATCCTATAACTGTATCAGGCTGCTGCTTAAACTTCAGTCTTCAATCTTCAGCTCCCTTCACTGCTTTATTTATTTATTTATTTATTTTTTTTTTTGAGATACATACAAGAGTTGTTAGATTCTTGTACAGCCACTAGCACGCGTAGCGTTTCGGTCGGGTCCCTGGAATACGATCCCCTGCCGCGAAGAATCGTTTTTTCATCCAAGTACACATTTTACTGTTGCGTTAAACAGAGGCTACAGTTAAGGAATTGCGCCCAGTAAATCCTCCCCGACCAGGATACGAACCCATGACATAGCGCTCGCGGAACGCCAGGCGAGTGTCTTATCACTACACCACGGAGACTGTGAATAGGCTGTAAATAGGCTTTAGGATGTAAATATTTTTATACATGGCACAATAAAAATATTCACATATTTCCTATTTTACAAAAAATCAATCTCTCACCTTGCATTGAGCCTTTCATGCCAAAACGCAATCAAGCATTCCCTTTAACATCAAGGTCCATATGATCCTCTGTTCCATTACTCGAGGTCCCCAACTACAATCATCAATCTGGGCCCTCAAAATATAATGTAAGGAACTCCTGCAGTTCCTCCAATCAGCTGCACATGAAGTCCTCCTTAAATGTCAGTGAAGCTCTCTCCAAACGCTTCACACAAACGACGTGTGGCTTCCCACACTACTCGAGAATTCATTATGTTTCTGGAGTTGCACTCCTCAACTTGTAGTCTTGCACTACCTTGCAGTTATGCTCATATTCCTCCTCTGGTACGAAGTACTCTCACTAACTTCTTCCATACAAACGTTGCAGTTCTCCCAAACAAACCTGCAAATCCACCACCACCATGCCATAATAAATGTTTTCCTAACAAAACGTAATTAAATGTATTCACAGAAAATAAAACTCCTCCATCTTTATAAACACTAATGCAGCGCCGCGATGGTCCTCCCCCATCCTCGGTGAGTCCATTCTGGGTACATGTCTTGACACATCGCTGGGGCCACCAACCCTGACGCGAGGCTATGGGGCTCCCCCACTCAGGCACCACTTGACATTCGGCGATGGAAGATGTACCACTCTTCCCTCCAGCACGTTCTCTTATCTGTAACCTTCTATTTTAGCTCACTGCTACAATAAAAATGTATATCCTATAAACATAAACACTTGCCATGATCTGGGCACATGATCAAGCAAACACAACCCCTATAACATCTGTTATATGAGCTTACCGCAGAATTTGTATCTCGAGGGCATTCAGCTGTGGCGCTCCCAGATGTCGTCCTCTAAGACATCCAACAAAGTTTCTTTGTGACGGCCTCACAGCTCTTCTGCTCCAGACTTGAGTACATAAGGTCAGGAGCACGGCTGAGAAGTCGTCCAACAGGCTTCACACATAAACGCCTACTTGATTCCCTCCTCTTGAAGGAGAACACAGTTAGGGTTCTTCCTACTGCCAGAAGATAAACAAAGTACAACCCTCTCTGACGACTGTTGTGACTCAAGTAAGTACACGACGTCCTGCTAGCTTTACGTCATGTCACCAAAGTATCGATATGTGTACAACAGAACACTAATACAATAGTACAAACCCCGAACAGTGTAGTACAGAACACTAATACAATAGTAGATAGCAGGAACAGTGTAGTACAGAACACTAATACAATAGTAGATAGCAGGAACAGTGTAGAGCAGACTACTAATACAATAGTACACAGCAGGAACAGTGTAGTACAGAGCACTAATACAATAGTACACAGAAGGAACCGAGTTGTACAGAACACTAATACAGTAGTACAAAACCTGAACAGTGTAGTACAGAACACTAATACAATAGTACACAGCAGGAACAGTGTAAAACAGATCACAAATACAATAGTACACAGCAGTAACAGGGTAGTACTGAACACCAATACAATTGTACGCAGAAACATTAGAAAGAACTTTTTCAGTGTCAGAGTAGTTAGTAAATGGAATGCACTAGGAAGTGATGTGGTGGAGGCAGACTCCATACACAGTGTCAAATGTAGATATGCTAGAGCCCAGTAGGCTCAGGAATCTGTACATTAGTTGATTGACGGTTGAGAGGCGCGACCAAAGAGCCAGAGCTCAACCCCCGCAAGCACAATTAGGTGAGTACACAGCAGGAACAGTGTAGTACAGATCACTAATACAATAGTACACATCAGGAACAGTAGTCCTGAACATTAATACAATAGAACAAAGAAGTAGTGTAGTATAAACCCTTCGAACAGAGAACTACAGAACCCTAACATTGAATATCTTTTGGACAGAGACGAGAGTTGGTGGCTTGTGATGGAGCTTGTCAAGAACACCTACGGCTACGCTCCCTCTACCTTCCTGGAGGTCCAGGAGCACATCTAAACCTTCTTCCCCTCAAGGTCCAGGATCACATCACCTATGAATTTTCTCCCCCTCGAGGTCCAGGAGCACATCTGAACTTTCTCCCCTTCGAGATCCGGGAGCAAATCTAAACCTTCTCCCCCCTCGAGGTCCAGGAACTCCTCTGAACCTTGAAGGTCAACCCGTCCTCGACTCAAGTCCATTACATCCAGCGGTCGACCCCACAGACGCATTCATAAATTTTAACTTGCTGTTCATTCAAAACGGGAATTTTCGCAAGTATAAATTAATATTATAATATATTAGCATATTGTGCATATATAGGCATAGGTTAGGTTAGGTTAGGTGTTTAGGTTCTGCTGGCGATTATTTGTATTTGTAGTACGTGCGTGAAGCATTTACAGCGTTGTGATTCGAACAAAATTCGTCAGTGAAGCACTTGTTCCGGATATGTTCGAACGCCAGCAGTTGTGAGTCGTGTGTAAACCGCTTTTCATTCATAAACAAGGGGTTTGGCTGGTGCATGGAATCACTTTTGGATCTTTGTTTGGAAGACGGGCTGTGCATGGAATCACTTTTGGATCTTTGTTTGGAGGACGGGCTGTTTATAGTGTTGTGTTTCGAACACATTTCGTCAGTGAAGCACTTGTTCCGGAAGTGTTCGAACGTCATCAGTTGTGAGTCGTTTGTAAACCGCTTTTCATTCATAAACAGGGAGTTTGGCGGGAGGATGGAATCACTTTTGGGACTTTGTTTGGAGGACGGGCTGCAGTGACAGTTGAATTTTCGAGAATGTTTTAGGAGTGCACAGAGTGTGTGCACAAAGTTGAGTTTTGTTAATTCAAGACTCAAGTATACCTTGTTGGATATTAGGCACTGAGCTCATGGCATACGAAGACCAGGGGTATTGCAAGGGCCCGTACATATCTAGTCGTTTGTTAATTACAGCGAGGAGAAGTTGGATATATACATCCTCCTCAGGATTTTACCCTCGACAAATAGTCAGAGGAAACTTTTCATGCTTGCAGTCAGGGAAGGGAGAGAGGAGGCCAACCATCCAGTGGACGTGGGCCTCAGCCATGAGGTAGTCGTGACGTCATGGCCCCTCTCCACTTGGAGGAAACTGTCGTGATTGACACCCTGGGTCAACTGTGTTACTCACATGCCACCACGTCCTGTCATTGCTACAGTATTACTTCGGAGCGACTACAGTCCATCAATCCATGTATGTGTGTTGTGAATGACAGGCCGGCCTTAACGTTACCTTGAAATGATTTCGGAGCTCAATGTCCCCGCGGTCCGGTCTTCGACCAGGCCTACTGGGTCCTGGACTGGTCAACCAGGCTGCTGGACGCGGCTTCTCGTAGCCGGACATTTGAATCATAGCCTGGTTGATCAGATATCCTTTAGAGGTGTTTATTAAGTTTCTTCTTGAACAATGCGAGGGTTCAAACAATTATGCTCCTTATGTGTATTGGAAGCGTATGGAACAGTCTCGAGCCTCTGATGTTGATAGAATTCTTTCTCAGCATAACTACTGTACCTTTGTTTTTCAGCGGGGGTATTCTGCACATCCTACCATGCCGTCTGGTCTCTTTTTTTTGTTATTTCTTTATGCAGGGTTGGAACCAGCACCTCTAATATTTTCCACGTGTAAATTATTATGTATCTCTCCCGCCTGCGCTCTAGAGAATATAGTTTAGGCATTTAAGTCGGTCCCAATAGTTTTGATGTTTTACTGAGTGGTCTCTCGCAGTAAAGGATCTCTGCATGGTCTGACCTGGATTGATCTCGTTATCACCCGGTACAGGTGAGAGGTAGATTGGTCAAGGAAGCAACAGGACAGGTGTCGGTACAGCAGTCTGTGTGGTACTGTATCCGTTCACTGCCACTGGAAAAAGTGTTACATACACCACACTTAATATATGCAATACTTGTGTGCATTTTAGTAGTGCGGTATTGTTATCGAATTGGTATTACGGATTGTGTGTGAAACGTAATATTTACCAGCCACCAATGGGTGAGTATTTCATTCAGTTTTGTGTCAAGGTGACACTTATGATACATTTTCTCATATATGGACTATTGTGTTTTGTTACATTACAGTGTTGTACTTGTGTGTCGCCGTCAAGTGTTAGCATGATTAATTGATTGTGGCAGTCCAAGTGACAAGTGTTATCATAATTAATTGATTGTGGCAGTCCAAGTGACAAGTGTTATCATAATTAATTGATTGTTGCAGTTCAAGTGATAAGTTTCAGCATAATTATTTGATTATTGCAGTTCAAGTGACAAGTGAAATAGGAAGAGAAGTTGTCTTGATTATTGTTGTGTTATCCATCATTATTAATTGCAACTGCAATCACAATGATGGAATAACACAACAATTGAGTAACACAACAATTGAATAACAATTGAGTCAGTGTTCTTAAGTGTTCAGTTAGTTCATTTTGTACCTTTTGTCCATGCATGACTGAGATCTCGCATTTACCAGAGTGGTGGGACCGCGTCCTTCTGCCCCAGGTATTGCTTAGCTGTTGCAGTCACACTCTCGAGTTAATGTAACGTGAATTATCGTGTATTAGTGAGTAAGTTTGTTTAATAAATTCTGTTTTGTTGCGAATGTGTCTTTCATCACCTTTTATGAGTATTGCCCCATTGTTTTATTCTGCTTCATTTACATATGTTCTTGAAATTAATTAGATTAAGTTCAGGTCGCATTTAAATTGTCAAGCTGCTGTCGCGGAGGAGAATACTGCTTGATAATATTTATGAGAGTGTATACCTAAAGAGGGGCAGTGTTGATGGCTTCAGGGTACTGAACTAGAAACTCACTAGGATGTACTCACTAGAAAGAAGACGAGAGAGATATCAAATAATATACACCTGGAAGATACTGGAGGGCCAAGTACCAAATCTACACAGTAAAATAACAACGTACTGGAGTGAACGACATGGAAGAAAATGTAGAATAGAACCAATGAAGAGCAGAGGTGCCATAGGCACAATCAGAGAACACTGTATAAACATCACAGGTCCGCGATTACTCAACGTCCTCCCAGCGAGCATAAGAAATATTGCCGGAACAACCGTGGACATTTTCAAGAGGAAACTAGATTTATTCCTCCAAGGAGTGCCGGACCAACCGGGCTGTGGTGGGTATGTGGGCCTGCGGGCCGCTCCAAGCAACAGCCTGGTGGACCAAACTCTCACAAGTCGAGCCTGGCCTCGGGCCGGGCTTGGGGAGTAGAAGAACTCCCAGAACCCCATCAACCAGGTATCAACCAGGGTGGTTACTGCAAGATTAAGGAACTCTTAAAGCTCTTCTAAGGTCGTTGGTTGTTTGACATTCCAGGAGATAGTGAAGTAGCGGCTTTTCTATGATTGTTTGGCAGAAGATGCATTCCGTCTGTCGGGGTTCACCAACCTCGGTAACCCTGATGTAGTCTATATAACCGAACTGTTATTTCCCTGTGGATTCTCTTTGGGATATTTAACCTGTCTAACATGGTGGCCTGATGATACCATATTGCAGAGGACGAATCTTCTGCTACTCTCTGGTGCAGATGGACTTTGTTGAGGTGTGCCAGTTTTTTATGACGTTGATTTTTATTTAATCAGGGTTGGGTTGGATTATTTCATGTATCACTGGATGACAATTGCCAATTTAGAAGTTTCATAGGATTATTTCAGTTTCATTGTATGGGATTACAGCATGGAATGGGATCCAGTTTAGGGTTATGTTGAGTCTTTTGCTGCAAGATACAAACTGGTGGTAATTATTTCCAAGTTGTCTTTACAGTGTTTTTCCTAATATTTGAAGTGCAGCTTTTGAGTGTTTGATTGCATTTTGAGTGTTTAGTACAATCACATATGCAAATGCCTGTTGTATGGCAAACAACTCACATTGGGTTGATGATACTAATCCTCCCAGTCTCCAATATGCCTGTTCGCTGTCCGTGCAATGAGCAGCACCAAAACTCTTATATTCTGTGTCCACCGATCCGTCTGTGAAGATCTGGGTGGCTCCTGCTACTGCTATGCTGCTCATTTACTATTGTATGATTCACGTTAGGGTTGTTGGATCATAGGCAGCCTTTTTCAACGGAAGACCTTCTATTACTATTTTAAAGGCAGACTCCCCCCACGGTGGGGAACAAGTGTGGCTTGGGAGTGGATTTTTGTTTGCAGGAATATTCCTGCGCGGGCCCTAAGCCTCTGGCTGGCCCACTAAGTGTTGCTTGTTTCTGTTTTACTTGGGCGGAGTATGAGTATTTATGACTCGTATGGTCGCTTCAGTAAGATTTTGCCATATATGTTTAACAACTTCTTCTGCTCTGTTGAATTTAAGTTGAAATTTTAATGGGTTTGTAACTGTGCATTGTGTTAGATAATGTTCCAGTTGGGGTGGATGATCACTTCCTCTATCCATAATCATACTTTTTAAGTGTAGTCTGTTTACGGTTTTGACCGCTCTGGCAGCCCTAGAGTTTCCGTTGTTTTGGCCAAGTCCAACAATCAAGGCCTGCCGTACTGGAACTGGATCAGGGAAAACAATTATCTTACTGATAATCGTAGCTGTTCTTTAAGATATTCCTTCTTGAAGAGAGGACAAACCCGTTTCCAGTCTTAAAGTTTCAAGCCTGGTTCACATAGGGGCTCACATGGCAGCTCTCATAGCATTGTTTTAGGCTACTTCAATATTTTCCCTCTATGGATGTGATAGGCTTGTGAGGATAGGTGCGGCATAGTCGATCACTGCCCTGACTGCCTGTATATAGTATGTGCGAAAGACTTGCAGATTGGCTCCTACAGAGAGGGAGGAGAGCAACCTGAGGATTGCCGTCCGAGCCGCAGTTCTCACTCGCAAGTAAATGACCTCGCATTAAAATTTATGTGTCCAGGATTATTCCTAGATACTGATAAGTGTCCACCCATTAAATTGGTTAACCCTTTACTTTGAGCTGGTTTTTGGGCTTCACTATTTTCTATGGGCATGGCTTTTGTTTTGGTGGGGCTGACTTTGAGACCAATCTGCTTTGCCTCTTCACTAATGCAGTCTAAGCATTTGTGTGCAAGGCGTGCCGTATCTCTTTTTTTTAGTGACAAAGTCATTATCATTGCTGCATCTCTTCATTTTATGTTGATGAATAAGTCATCATCATAAATGTGGGGAATCTGACTCGGGGAATATGAATGTTTAATTTAATTGATAATTAATTGATTAATTTAATGAATTATAATTTATGATGTATAATAGATTTATTTATTGTTTATTACGATAGCTTAGCAATCTGTATGT